GCAGCTTGGGCTTCCAGCAGAACCAGAGATGTACCAGGAGTCAGCAGACCTTTGCTTTTAGCTTCATAGATGCTCATCATCTTTTTTGTTGATTCAACTCTCACACCTGCTATACAGTTTGTGGCTCCAAGATACTTCTGAATATTTTCCATTTTGTCAACAGTTTCTTCCGTTACTTCACCTTTTATAATTTGGGTGAAAAGGTCCTTTGAGATGATCTTTGACTCAAATAATTCACTGGCTGAGACTTGTTTTCGTAGTCCTTTGAACTTTCTTACCTTGGATGATACCTCTGTGATTATAACTGTGAGTATTTCAATCATCTCCTCAATTTTGGTCACTCCTGTCCGGTATTGCTGTATAAGCTGCTCCCTTTTTTGTTCTGATATGTATTCAGATAGTAGCACTTCCCACAGTGTGACCTCCTTGTTTTTAAATTTTCCCACATTCAAGGTCATCATTTTGTTTTTCAAAGCATTCTCGATTTGCTCATCTGTGTGAAATACACGGGCTTTTTCTTTATGCAGCGGTAGGAGAAGTAGCCCAGTTTTATCATCTTTCTCACATCTATTTATGAGCTGACTGTATGACAGTCTTTCTTTGGTATTTGGGTCAAAGAATCCTTTTTCATCATCTGTGGGGTTCAACAGAATTTTTTGAGTTTCTTCATCCAGACATCCTTTTTTGATAGCAATATGAATTGGCAGTCTGTGACTTTGATTTGGGTCAATAATTCCTCCTGTTGCTGTCTGCACATCAAGTATCCGAAGGCCATAGCTTCTTTCTCTCAGCTTTTTTTGCATGGCTTCAAACAGTGATATTGTCACATCTGTATATGGATCTTTATACCCAGTGACAGCTCGTTCAGCTGAGAGAAGTTGCTCACGTACATCTGGCCCAATCAGTCTTCCTTTTACAGCCTCTTCCACAGCATGGAACTCATTTTTGAGGGGATCAATGATCCATCCTGTTGCAGCTTGAGCTTCAAGTAGTAGAAGTGCAATGCCAGGTGTCAACAGGTCTTCATTTCTTGCTTCATATATGCTCATCACTTTCTGGGATGGATAAACCTTCACTCCAGCAATGCTTCCAGATCCTTTTAGGTATCCTCTCACAGTTTCACCCTGCGCTATTGTTTCTAAATTGAGTTTTCCTTCTTTCACCTGTTTAAATGTTTCTGCATCAATGATTTCACAATCCAGTAGTTGTTTTGCAGTGACATGCTTTCTCAGACCCATTATCATTTTGGGAGTTTCAGTCTTCTCCAGTTTTTCTATTGTGGTAATCACTAATGTGATTATGGTCTGGGTACTCTTCTGCCTTGTTCTGTACTCTTCAATCAGTTCAAGTCGCTGATCCTCAGTAAAGTAGCCAGAATGAATCAAGTCCCATAGAGTAACCGATTTTCCAGAATAGTGTCCTACAGATATGCTGACACTTGTCTTTTCAAACTCTTCCTTAATCTCTGTGTCAGTATATATCTTTTTCTTTGTAGCTGTAGCTTTTGGTGTGTCATTCAATGGCAGGAGAAACAGTCCAGTTTCCTTATCTTTCACACATCTCCCCAACATCTCCATGTATGTCAGATTTTCTTTTGTGTTTGGGTCAAAAAAGCCCTTTGTGTCATCAGTTGGGTCTGTTAGGATTTGATTAAGTTCTTCATCAAAATATCCCTTCTTGTATGCAATTTCAAGGGGTAAGTGGAGACACTTTAAGGGATCGATGATACCACCTGTAGCAATCTGGGCCTCAAGTAAACGAATGCCATGCTGCTTGACAATAAGATCTTTTTTCAACGCTTGGAAGAGCGAGATCTTCTGACCTGTGTATGGATCTTTGTAACCAGTGACTGCTCTTTCCGCAGACAAAAGTTTTTCATACATCTGTGGACTAATCAACTTTTCTTTGAGAGCTTGTTCAACTGTAAGTTTTTTGTTATTCAGAGGATCAACAACAAATCCTGTAGCTGCTTGTGCTTCAAGGAGGCAAAGGGCAGTCCCAGGTGCAAGAATCCCAATTCTCTGTGCCTCGTGAATGCTTAGTTTTTTATTTGAAGGTTGCAGTATCAACCCAGCTACACAGCTTTTTCCTTGTAGGTAGGCTCTCACACTGTCCATTTTCATCACATCACTGCTTGTCATGATTCCAGTGATCAAACTGTTGTAGGTGTTTTTATCCACAATTTTAAGATCCAAAAGATCCACAGCAGAGACTTTTCCTCTGAGACATTTAAACTTCAGTATTTCTTGCTGTTCTATCGCCATACTCTCAATGATCTCTACAATGGTCTCAGTTAGTTGCTGAATTGTGATTTTCTTTGACCTGAAGAGCTTGAAAAACTCCTGTCGTTTATCTTCAGACAGATATTCTGAGTTGATAAGATCCCACAATGTTGTGTGTTTGCCCTTGAACCTACCATACTTTACAGTGACTATTGATGTTTTGAACAATTCCCTAATGTTGTCATCTATCTTTATTTTGTTGCTCTTGCCTTTGAGAGGTAAGAGGCACAGGCCTGTACTAGGATCTGTTACACATCTGGCCATGAGCTGCAAGTATGTCAGGTTCTCGTGGGTGTTGGGGTCAAAGAATCCCTTGGTGTCATCACTTGGATCATCCAGGATCTGATTCATTTCTTCATTAAAGTACCCCTTCTTATAGGCCACATGGACAGGTATGCGATGGCTGTTCACTGGGTCGATGATCCCACCAGTGGCAATTTGGGCCTCCAGGAGCCTAATGCCATGGTCTTTTAGGATCAGGTCTTTTTGCATTGCTTGGAACAAAGAAATTGTTTCTCCAGTGTATGGATCTTTGTATCCAGTAACCGCTTTCTCTGCTGATTGCAGCTTTTGACACACATCAGGCCCCACAATCTTTGCTTTGACAGCATCATCAACTGAAAACTTTCTATTTCCAATAGGGTCGACAATGAACCCTGTTGCTGCCTGTGCCTCCAGTAGAATCAGAGCAGTTCCTGGCATCAGCTTTCCTTTCTGTTTGGCCTGGTAGATGGTCATGATTTGAGAATCAGGAAGCATAATACCTGCGATGCTGTCTTTACCTTTTAAGTACACATTTACATTTTCATCTTCAATGACTTCGTTCACTGACTTCTTTCCCTTCTTCAGGTCCTCTAGGACCTCCTCACTAATGATATCTGCTTCCACAAGCTGCATGGCTGTAACAGTGTCTCTGATGCCTTCAAAGATGACTTGAGTTGTTTTCACTGACTTTTCTATCACTTCCAGAACTGTTGTAATGCTCATCTTGATAGTAATCTTCCCCTCTCTGTATTTTTTAAAGATGTCTTGCCTCTGGTTTTCATCAAAGTATTCTGACATCAGAAGTTCCCACAGAGATACTGTCATTCCTGTATATTTGCCATATGTCACTTTCACTTTCTCCATCTTGAAGGCTGTTTTAGTTTGGTAGTCAATGAAATCAAAATTTAGCCCATCTGATTTATCACGCAAAGGAAGGAGGCAGAGTCCAGTAGCAGGATCAGTGACACACCTTTCCATCAACTGAAGATAGGTTAGATTTTCTTCTGTGTTTGGATCAAAAAAGCCTTTTGTGTCATCCCCTGAATCCTCCAATATGGTATTCATTTGTTCATCAAAATAACCTCTCTTAAAGGCCACTTCTGTAGGAAGTCTGTGACTGTTGATTGGATCAATTATTCCACCTGTAGCAATTTGTGCTTCAAGTAGGCGGATCCCATGTTGTTTGACCATGAGGTCTTTTGAGAGTGCTTGAAACAGGGATATAGTTTCACTGGTGTATGGGTCTTTGTATCCGGTCACTGCCCGCTCAGCAGAGAGCAGCTTTGCATGATATTCTGGGCCAATAAGTTTGCTTTTGACAGCTTCATCCACAGTGTACTTTTTATTTTCTACAGGATCAATCATGTATCCAGTAGCAGCTTGTGCCTCCAAGAGAACAAGTGATGTCCCGGGCATCAGTATGCCTTGCTTCATGGCTGTATAAATGCTCATTCTCTGATTGGTTGAGAGTATAGCAATGCCTGCAATGCTGCCTTTGCCTTCCAGGTATTCTTTCACTGTTTCAATCAACATCACGTCCTGTGTTGTGGTCTTCCCCTTTTGCAGGTTATCATATGTTTCTTTGTCAATGATCTTTGATTCAAGGAGCTCGGCGGAGGAAATGCCTTTGCGCAGACCTTTGAAGGTGATGCAGACAGGAAGAAGCAACAGGCCTGTATCGGGCTCCACAATGCATTGCGTTTGGAGGCTTCTGTAGTTAAGATTTTGTTGCAAAGTTGGATGATAAAACACTCTGAGCTCTGACATTTGGTCCTTCAGCAAATCTTTTTCATAGTAGCCCTTCTGAATTGCAGAGTCAACTGAAATATTTGTCTTATCGACAGGATCAAACAGGCCTTTTGTGGCTATCTGTGCTTCCAGCAGCCTCAATCCATAATCTTTTGGAACTAAATCTTTTTGCATAGCTTGGAATACAGATATCATTTGGTTGGTGTAGGGGTCTACATACCCAGTGATGGCTTTTTCTGCTTTAAGGAGTTTGTCTTTCATCTCTGATCCAACTATTCCCTTTTTAACAGCATCCTCTACAGGAAGCTTTTGGTTGTTTACTGGGTCTACAATACCTACTGTGGCAGCTTGTGCTTCAAGCAGAGCCAGTGCTGTTCCTGGCTTAAGCATACGCTTCTTCATGGCTTCATATATGGTGATCTTTGTCTTTGTCTTTTCCAGAAATATACCAGCCACAGGTTCATGGACTTTTGTGCAGGCATTTTGCTTCACACCGCCGTCCTTAAGGTTGGTGTCCATCTTGACCTAAAGGGCTGTGTTAGCACAGAAACAGTTACAGAGCTTGTTTTGTATATGGTATTTTATGCATTGTAAGTAATCGTAAAGCACAGATCTCAGATACATTTGGGCACATTGCAGTTAAACTGATTATAAAATACACATGTATTGATTTGTATGTAAAAAAATAACTTGTCAGGTTTTTATACAGTTATTTTTTATACACAAATTATTCAGACGTTCACCAAATTAGATGCAGTAAGACATTTTGTCAAAAAATTTATTTTACTACTTCTGTTTTGCGCCATAATGCAATTTCTAACGTTACATGTTTGACAGTGACATTGTTATGTACTAACTGTAAAGCTATTTTCATCTTTTCCCTTACCACAAGGGGTCGCCACAGCAGCGAGCACCACAAGATTAATTGGGCAGAGTTTTATGGTGGATGCAGCTCGAATGGGGGGCTGAAACAGTGACCTTTCACTAGTAATAGAGACTAATGTAATAGAGAATATACCCCAGCAAGGTAGAGAAGGTGTAGAATAGTTTGTAATGACAAATAGTACTGAAGTCTGGTAAAATTAACACATTAGTATCCAGCATAACTCTGAATCGCTTAAATAACTTAATAACTAGTCTGGAGCAATAGAAATAGAAATAGATGGTAATTAGTTTTATTTCTATTAATTGTAGTGTACGTTTTGGAATATATTATCGTCCAACTGTAATATCAAACCTTTCAATTTCGTGTACGTGGACAGCCTTGGATATTCTCTGTTGTTCCAAAATCCAAGATCCAACGCCAGTGGCCTCCTGATTTTTATGATCTCAGGGCTTTGAAACTCTGTCCCTGGAAAGATAAGGCGGGTATAATAAGTTTGATCTTAAACTTTGTGTTAATGATTTGATATTGAAATTAGTTTATGACATTTCTCATGAAC